TTGAGGGGTTTGACGGTACTCTACTGGGCATTAGAATGCTCATACCCTTATAGATTGTGCAGGATTAAAGAAGAAGTTTGAGGAAGCGGGTTCAACTAAGCTGCTGGGCTTTTATTGTTGATTTGTGTAATTAATATTTGTAAGGAGTCAACCGTTTGTTAAAGATCTTAGTGTATAGTTAATTACAAGCTACTGCGACTCTGATTTTGTGATGTTAAGTAAATTTGTATTATTTTGTGGCTCCTTTTCTCATCATATCATGGTTGTAGGATTTTATTCTTATGACTATGGTATGACTCACATCCTGATTCGAGAATATTCCTTGTTTTCGAATCGGGTCGTGACAGGGAGTGCAGAGTGGGGAGTGTATCCGCACTAGTCAATTTGACTAAGCCCATATCTACTATAATCGAACACTTTTTAAATACACTAATTTTTTGAATGGGGAGTAGTAACCAAAAAAGCTAAATTACACTTTTTAATTCGTGTAGTTTGTGTTATTTTTCACTCATCTTTAGTATCACGAAGATAATTTCTTCTCCACTCATCTTTAGTCATGTCTCTTACATTATTAGTCATGCACATTTGATAAATAAAAATGTCTCATCTAAAACTTATCCATTAATGATGCATTCATTGTTTTAGAACTGAAGATAGTTTTTTTACATTATTAAAAATGAGTGCTGCTATTTCCACATACTTGTTCTATTTCATCACTCATTTTATCTTCAAAATCTCAAAGACAAATTTACCCTTTATAAAATGACTTCTAAGAATTTAAGAAAACACATTAAAACTCACTAGTCTCTCCGCACACACTTCTGTGCTTGCAAGGCTTTTTTTAAATAAATTTTTAAATGTATTTTAGAATTAAAAAAGATAATTGATAGTTGTATTCCATAAAAATAGGATCCATTATCTGAATTTTTTTTTTTTAATTTTTTTAATATGAAAAAGTGTGAATTTACCATATTATCCTCATTTAATTAATAATTTCAATTCTTAATGTTTGCATTAACCAAGGGCATTTTCTAGTATTTTGAATGTTTTACCATTCTCTATCTTTTGCTATAGATTTTAAAAAAAAGATAAAAAAAATACAAAAAAGATTACCCCCCCCCTCTGTCTCTTAGCCTCCACCCACCCACGCGAACCATCCTCCTCCTCTATTTCTTAACCTAGACCCCTAGCCCCAGATTTCCACAATCACCCTAGATATGGGTACGTAGGAATAATGGTGGGTAGAACGATAGGATTGTGTTTTTTCAAATTTATATGGTAGGTGGAAACTAAGGTGGGTGGAAAAATAAGATGGGGGGTGGAAATAACAACACTCTTAAAAATGAAAAAAGTAACAAAAACAGTATTAATAATTTAATTCATACTCTACATTGAGTTTATCAGTTTATTTATAACAAGATTATCAATTGGAAGTTAATTTTCTTTCAACTTTATGCACACAATACTTTTGTGTGTGTCACCACGCTAGAATTGTCTTCCTTTTTATCTTTTTGAAGAGAGAGAGAGAGAGAGAGAGAGAGAGAGAGGTTGTTAGAAGTGCACTCTCTCTATCTCCCAAAATGGTCACATGAATCATAAATGTAATTGTATGACCAAATTTGTAGGACTAGTTGAGAGAGAAAAAGAGGACACTTGGGCAAAAAGGAAACCTCAAAATAACCAGTCAAACCCTCAAGCAACGGTCATATGTAAGAAAAATCAGTCCCTACAAATCCCAGATTGAAATACGGATGCCCCAATATTTGGGCGCCAAACAAGGCTTCAATATCAAATTACAGTTACTAAACTTGCACACAATAATCAGAAAAAACCTTAACACTCTAAAAAAATCAGAAACACATAGAGAGAGTGGGCAGATAGAGAGAGAGACAGAGAGAATAGAAGAAGAGCAAAGAGGAAAAAAAACATGGCACAAGCACAACCACCTGGGGAGAAAACCCAAGAGGCCCCAGAAATGGTAGTGAAAGAAAACCCAATAAACCCATCCTTCAAATTCAATGCACAAGCACCTGAATTTGTGCCAAGATCACATACCCAGATGCCCATTTCTGGTTATTTTTATCCCTGCTTTCACTTTCTTGGTGACTCTGCTTCCCCTGATTGGTTTTACATTGGGGACCAGGAGTTGCCTCCTTATTTGATCCCCAATAATCCCAACATCCCTCTTGCCAATCGATCCAAGAATGCACTCCCAGATGATCTTCAGCAGAAGATCATCAAACAGGTAATGTTTCTGTGAATGTTCATCCTTTATAGTATATGTGTTAATGCCTCTTTTGTTTCCTGTGATTATATTCTTTGGATGATTTCTGTGTTTAAATTTCCTACCTTTCATGCATTTATGGGTTTTGTCTTATCTTATGTTCTATGTATTTTTTTTCTTTGCAAATATCGTTGTTCCTGTTGAGCTCCTTAAAATTGGCTACATTTGTGTATTGGTTTTTATTTATGTTCTTTTAGATTATATTGTTAAACTATGTACCTGCAAGATCTGTTTTTTTTTTTTGGAAGATAAATTATATGTCAGGATTTGGATCATGTTGGGCAAAGTGGTATCATCCTTTTAGGTCCTTCACTTATTCCCATCCCCTCCATGGCTTTTGCAAGTCAGATTATATTGATTCAGATTCACACACCTGCTATCTGAAGAACTTACTGTTAACTTGATATACATTTGTCGGCCAATTTTTCTAACCGTTTAAGTTTTCGAGGTCCAGTGAATGTCTAATATGGTAGCAGCTCTAATTGCCAGAGGTTGGGTTCAAACCTTCCAACCCAAATTCCCCGGCCGGTTTCCCCTCTACCTAGCACCTTCGTTTCTGAATGAAATTCGGTAGTAGGATCTTCATAAATAATATGGACCTTATCCAATTTCAGATGAGAAACAATTCCAGGATTGTCAGGCAGGAGATTTACCCCAGAAGTCATTGAAAGCTTTTGTCCCATAAGATAACCCATCTCTAAATGTTGATAACAATGAGAAATCCCTCTACAAGTGATAAATCATCTTGTTTCCTTTTCATGTTATAATTCTGTAATATGCATGAGATGTTAAGGCATTTTACATATTGGTTGCCCGTCATCCTTATTGATGCTAGTCATTAAGCAATTAGGACTGGACTATGACAGCACCTCCTGAGTCTAAGGACTATTTCTGCATAAAACAGGTGGAGTACCAGTTCAGCGACATGAGTCTGCTGGCAAATGAATCTTTAGTGAAACACATAAGTAAAGATCCCGAAGGCTATGGTAAGCATTTTCAAGGAGTAATTTATATAGATTAAGTAAATTTTTTGGTATGCTTTTTGATTCATGCATGATTTTTTATGTAAAACAGTTCCAATATCTGTTGTTGCTTCCACCAAAAAAATGAAGTCACTTATTAGCAACAACCACATGCTTGCGCAAGCACTCCGGTCCTCGTCAAAGCTTGTAAGTTGTCTGATATAATTTCTGATCAGTTTTTTTCCTTTTCTTTTCTTGTCTGAATAATATTTCTCATTTGGTCTTCAAGCTTTCATTATTGTTCTTGAATAATTTTATTAAAGGTTGTAAATGAAGATGGCAAGAAGGTTAGACGTAAGTACCCTTTCACTGAAAAAGACAAAGAGGAATTGCAGGTAAAAACAGATTCTTCCTAAACCACATGGATCTAAATAGCTTCATGAATCATTTTATGTTGTGTCTTCTTTTTCTCCTTCTTGCAGTCGCGTACTGTTGTGGCAGAGAATTTGCCTGAAGATCACTCTCATCAAAATCTAGAGAAGATATTTAGTGTGGTTGGAAGGTTGGATTTTTGCACTGAGCTTATTATTTCCCTTCCTTTTCTTTTGTGTTATCATATGTTTTAAGAGAATCATCACTGTATATTTACATTTGCTGTCAAGAACAGTGTGAAAACCATCCGAATATGCCATCCCCATGAATCCAATTCTTCCCGGTCCAAAGGCGATTTCATTATCAGCAACAAGGTACAAGATTAAATTGAACCATTTTTTTTTATCTAATAGCCATACATATAATTCCAAAGGAACTTATTGTATAGGTTTTCTTTTAATCTTAAATTTCTTCTCTATTTTATGAAGCTTCATGCACTTGTGGAGTATGAGACAACAGATATAGCAGAGAGAGCGGTACGTTGATTGCTGTTATAACTTCAGAGTTACACCATTGGTTTTCTTAATATTTTTTCGTGCTACAGGTTGATAAGTTGAGTGATGAAAGGAACTGGAGAAAAGGGCTCCGAGTAAGGTTGCTGCTTAGACGCTCGGTATGTCTATATAAAACTTCTATATATGTAACCTCCAATTGTTTGACATAGCCTCATTACTTCTGATGTAATTTAATTTACAGCCAAAATCTGTTTTGAAGAACCGAAAGTCTGATTTCGATGGCATTTTAGAGGATGATGAGCCACAATATGACTGTGCAGAAGAAACTTCTCAGCCAAGCAACCCTGAATTGGTTACAGATAGTCCTAATGTGAGTCTTTCCTTGCATACCAATCATAGTATCATGCCATTACATTACCATAACACTGTCTTTTTACAGCATGTAGATCCCTCAGATGGACTGAGAATAGTGTTAGAATTTGAAATTACCAAATGTCAGTTGTACAAAGTAGATTGCATGCTATGTTTACAATGAAGCAATACTGCATGATATGTTACAAATACTTTTATCAATTTCAAATAAGATGTTGATCTCACATGAGAATATGTTTGGGTAGGAAGAAAATTTGGCGGCATCCAAGAAAGGATGGGCTTGGGGGCGCGGTAAGGCCCGAGGGCGTGGCCAGGGACAGAGTGGCCGCGGCCTGATTGCTCCATCTCCACAGTCAAGCTGTACCATCCAGTGTGAATCACCTGCAAAACAGAATGCCAAGGGCCCAAGAATGCCAGATGGGACCAGGGGCTTCACCATGGGAAGAGGCAAGCCCGTAAGCGCCATCAATTCGCTTTAGGAGTGATTGGTGGTGCCCCATTTTTGTTGAAGAAGGTCTACTTAGTTATTGGTACATGCATGGCTCTGCCTTCCCTGAGGAGTCTTGAGAAGAAGGGGGATTTTGGTTAAGTAGCCATAATTTGTGAAATGATTTTTATTGATTTAATTGAGATGTATAGTATGGTAAAAAAAGGTATGGGGATGTCATAGCTCTTGGCAGTGATCATAGTGATCACTTTTTTTGTTTTGCATCTTTTTATAGAGGTACTTTGCATTTGGGATGGTATTCAGTTCTCTTTGTACAATTCAATTTGAATAATGAAGTTGATGGGCACATCTCTCTCTCTCTCTCTCTACTGCTTAACTTTTCAAGGTTCCTTCATCATCACAACATCTAAAATATTTAGACACAACAATAGTCATAAGCACTTGCTCAATGGAGGACTTCATCAGCAGGATTTGGTTCAGGTGTGGAATTCATGGTGGTTTCTGGTTTGAGATATAACCAGCAAAATTTGAAACCATGGTAGGGTTCTTGTCAGAAATCGTTTTTCTCTAGAAGAAAGAAACAAATATTGAATCAAAAATCTCAATGAAGAATTTCAAACCCTAATCACTGGGCCCATATACAGGGCCTTATTATCTGAAAGCCGGAACAGTTTGTTTTCAGGAGGATAAACCCGGAAAAAAGAAAAAAGAAGTTAGAAAAAGTGGCCCATGCAGGTCTCGAACCTGCGACCTTCGCGTTATTAGCACGACGCTCTAACCAGCTGAGCTAATAGGCCATGTTTGATGGAAACAACCTCCAAACACAATATAACCGTGAAACCCGTAGGATTACCATCCCTGTTACTACACACAACTTTCACATATTATTCTAATTTAGAGCAAGGGAATTTGAACTTGGGTACAAGGGGAAGAACACATTACATTGACTAACTGGTATAACCTAACTTATGCAATTACAAGTGCTTTTGGGGAATCTTAGGATGAGTTTTTGATTGATGGCATTGTCCACCAAATGCCAATTGCCCATCTACAGTTTTGTAAAAACTTAATCTTGTGATGGGATTTCAGCATGAGTGCTCCTTTTCAATTGGTGTGGATCCCAAAATGAAATACATGATTCCTAGCAATCATGTCAGGCAATGTGGTTAGTCATTTTCCATTTTTAAGCATCAGTTTTTCCATATGCATCATTATAGTTCACTTCAATTGGCCACTACTTCATGTTTGCAAACTTATCTTTGTACCCTTTTTATGTTGTACATGATATGAACAAGTCAACCTAAGAAGCAATAGAACACAATGCTTTTTCAGTTCAACAAGCCTTACATACATGGAATAGTTCTGTAATTATGTGTTCATCTTTTCTCCTCTTTTTTTTTCACTTTGCATCACCAAGGTTAAATCGTTACGAAAAATGCCATACTTTTTTTTCTTCTTCTTGTTTTTATAGAATTATATTACTTCATAACATAATTATTTATATAGGTTGGTTTACATCAGTATCTCAGTTCTCAGTTCTTTTAGAGTTGAACCTACCAAGTTCGTTGGATTTGAACCCTCCAATCACCAAACACCAATCACCCCTCTGATAGAATATGCCATCAATGGAAGAGATAGGTTTTGTTAGGTCTCCAGTTTTTTCCTCTTACCTTACCACAAAGCAAAATAGGATGACATACACCCACCCAGTCCAGTTCTTTTCTGAAGTTAAAACTATCAGAAGTGCAAATGTAGTGGCATAAATGCCATGCCAAGTGCTTTATCAAATATCTACTATCAGAAAAAGTTGCAGACTTGCAGTTGTATAATGCAAAGTGCTTGGTGAAATATCTTTGGTTAGCCTTCACCTCAGTGACACTTGTACTTCCACTCCTTTGTATTTATATGATAAACATTAGGCATTTTGTGTGCAGGCCGCCCCTTATCTCTGCACATTGACTTAAAGACTTAAATACATTCTCATGAATCTTTAATATGAGATCCTAGTCAGGTTTTGGAATTTGCTCCTACGGCATGCATCTATTTAGATTACTTAATTATGTCTTTCTCACCTCATGATCAGAAATAGTGTCAGTAAACTTCTTTTTCTAAATTGCTATCCATTGCCCTGATTTGGAAACAATCTCAAACTACAAGCAATTGTGAAAAGCGCATGTGTTGAATTGAAAATAAAAGTTTACCAATTAAGAAATAGTTGAGAACAAATCTTCAATTTGCTTTGTCCAAAATCATCAGATTCATTCATCACTAGCAACTTATGTATAAAAAGTTTTGAAGCAAGAGGTCACCAGTGCACTGAGTTTTGGCTGTTTCTGTAGTGCTATTGATCATCTATGTTTTAACTTTTTAAGTTTGACATCTTGTTGTAGCAAAGACATTGTTCATGTTATTTCAACATTCCTTTTGCTTCAGAAAGAGAGCAGTTGAATGATGTGGAACTTTGCTTTGTTAGAATGGAAAAAAAGAAGTAATAAAATAGTAAATGGATTATATCACCTGGAAAAAAAAATACTCCAATATGATAATTTAGTTGCAGAGTTGGCCATTAGATTTTTCCAACTAGTGGCATTACCACTCTGAGTTTAACCAATGAAATCACTTTGAATTTTCAGTGTTTTCGCGTATAAATAACAGCAAAAGATCCCGTTAGATGTCATCATAATCAGAATTTCACAGCAAACCTTTTACATTGATCACCAGCTATGACTCACAAAATCATCTCCTACACCACTTTTTCTTTATGTTTACTCTTGTCTTTGTCTCCCTTTGTTCATATGCATCCATTTGCTTATAGCCAGCTTGATTACAATTTCTACGACAGATCATGCCCCCGCTTATCAATGATTGTTAGGTACAATTTGTGGGCAGCTATCAGGAATGACACCAGGATGGCTGCATCCCTTCTTCGGATGCATTTTCACGATTGTATCGTCAATGTAACTGTTCTTTCTTAAACCTTTTCCACATCTTTATCTCCTTTGAAGAACTAGGATGTTTTAAAGTAAAAATTACTAATGCTGAGTGCTAGACTGTTTACTAGTAGCTTTCTCCTTTACTTTTCACCCTTTTATTGGTTGCAAAAGAAGACCTAAGACAGCAGATATATTGGTTTTACACATGTCTGCAATTCACATTTTCATACAGAGTTAGAAAACTGTAACAGATATATTGGGTGCAAAGGAAAATAGGCATATACAGCTTCCCTCATTTTAGCTGAAATCCTTTGTTCTAAAACCAAACAAATAGCCTGAAGTTGGTCCTAAGCAACTTCAAGAAATCCTCATATCCTAAGCAAGAATATCATGAAAGTTACAACTTTCATGTGACAATATGAAAAATCTACTTCCTAATAATTTATTCTGCAGAAGCCTTTACTAGAAACTCAATATATTTATCTCCCTCTACCAATAAGAAGTTACGAGTAACAATCATGAAGCATCTTAAGAGCAACTCTGTGTTGACACAAGGTGTTATATCCAATGTTGTTCTTTTGCAGGGGTGTGACGGATCAGTGCTTCTTGATGACACAGAAGACTTTAAGGGCGAGAAGAATGCTTTGCCAAATCGCAAGTCACTTCGGGGTTTCGAAGTAATTGACAATATAAAGGCAGATGCTGAGAGATTTTGCCCATCAACTGTTTCGTGTGCTGATATTTTGACTCTTGCAGCAAGAGAAGCTGTTGGCCTGGTATACTTGACAGATTTCTATATCTTATGGCCAATACCAAAATGGTTGTTTCTCTTTGCAGTCTTCTAGTCTCACTTTCATTTCATTATTCTGGTTTAGGCAGGAGGGCCTTTTTGGCCTGTTCCATTGGGCAGAAGAGATGGAACAACTGCAAGTGAGAAGGCAGTTAATGAACAACTACCATCACCTATTGAGCCTTTGGAGAATATCACAGCCAAGTTCACATCAAAGGGTCTTGACATAAAAGATGTTGTAGTCCTCTCAGGTTCTTGTTTTTCACTTTCTTCCCACCAAAACCATCCCTTTTTTATTTTCTCTTTTGGGTTTAGTCATTCTCCAAAGTTTTAAAGCCTAAAGTAATGATCCTAATATTCTTGACATGAACATCTTTCTTGCTTTTGTTTCTTGAAGGTGGACATACTCTAGGATTTGCTCAATGCTTCACCTTCAAGAGAAGACTCTTCGACTTCGACGGCTCTGGCAAGCCTGACCCAACACTTGATTCTTCAGCGCTTACGAACTTGAGAAGCATATGTCCCAAGAAAGATTCAGCAAACAGCAATCTTGCTCCTCTTGATTCCACTAATCTGAAATTTGACAATGCCTATTACACAAACCTGGTTAGCAATACAGGTCTTCTAGAATCTGATCAGGCATTGGTAAAGGATCCAAATACTGCTGCAATGGTTAATTCTTATAGTGCAAACCCTTTTCTTTTCTCTAATGACTTTGCTGCATCAATGGTGAAGCTTGGTAATGTTGGAGTATTGACTGGGAAAGATGGGCAAATAAGGAAGAAATGTGGATCTGTGAACTAAATGAATGATTTGTAATATTAATGGCATTTCTCTCTATGAAAAAGTTGTGTAATCTAGTTGAAGTTGTTAATGGAACCATGAACATATGAATAACTAGTTTGGTGTTCAAGTATTATTCACTCTTGCCATTTATGGGAAAACCAAATGCAGCACAGCACATTATAACTAGTTGATATATATGAATAAATATATTAACTAATTTGCAGCATGACACATGAAAGGTAACATTGTTTTGGCAAATATCTGGAATGTTATATTGTCAGGCTATAAATTTTAAACCACAGTCATTTGTGAAACACAAACGAAGTTGGTTTATTTGGGTTTGCCAAAAGCTAGCTTTAATCGCTCAAATACGCATATATTTTCAAATCGTTAGTAGGTATGAGGTTCGCAATCACCCATAATTAATTATGGGTCATTCACGCGCGCACGTAGACAGCTTCGCTAGTTTCTCTCACTGAGTCTGAGCCTTTTTTATAACTAGTGTGTGACTAGTGAAGGTGGTGACCCGGTGTGAACTAAGCCTGATATCATCAGTAAACAGTACTTGTTGTTTACATTGGTTTCTAAGTTCCACTTTCAAAATGAAGAGAGAGAGAGAGAGAGAGAGTTAATTAGCTCTAAACCAAACTGAAAATGCACGTAGTTTGAAAAAAGAAGCCGACAAGGAGTGCTTGGATTCAAAAAAGGATATAGAGAAAAGCTGGTAGATGCCTGAGCCTAAGTTGTAACCTCTGTACGAGCACATTGAGATATTTGTCCTTGTCTCTCCAATTTCCAGTCCCCAATACCATCTTTTTATATATTTGGATCTGCCCAAA